ATTTGAGGTCCATAACGACTATAACTATCCACATGTTAGCTTGAGGATGCAGAGCCGCCTAAAGTCCCGTCAACTGCCCTCTAGCCTCCATTATTTTTCACGTCTTTCTATCTGTGCAAAACACTCACAAAATTTGTTGATGGCTAGTTGAATTGCCGACCAACGATTCATCAAAGAATTTTGACTACAACTAGGGCATCCCTTATGTTTGTATTCACGGAAGAACTCGTAAACCCTTTACCAATATATCTTTGATTTTTGCTCATTTCCTTGCACAACGTCCAAACTAATATTAAACCACGCCGAGATTATCATAATATCTTCCTCTACTATTAAATTGCCACCTCGTTATTTTTTGGTGGTGGATTCTACTTAAGGAGATATTTGTGAAGATTGACCTATAACCTCATCATCTAAATTTGTTCCATCGTGCATGAGATTGGTGAAGTACGCACCATGTTGGAATGAATCCATGAGTAATGCCTATAATTAACAATTCACAATTCACAATTCATATTCAATACGTGAAGAAGTTGAACGAAGGAGAAAACAAGTGTTTGCCAATAAAGTATGACACTTAAGGAGCACAATGGTGAAAATGAATTCCATACAATGAGAGCATAGATATCCATACAAGGAAAGGTCAGAAAAGCCTTGCATGCTGAGACTTGGTAGCCAAAAAGAAAAAATAACATTTACTGGTGTAACATTTGAAAACATGACATTATTTTTAGTGGATGTAGGTTATTAAGATAGAAATGGATTGCGATGGGTAGGAACCATGCCTTTAGTTTTCAACTGTTTTAACTCCAATAAAACTTGAGGACTTCAACTTTGGAGGGAATGGTTTGAGGGTTAATCATGATCATGAAACTGGTTTAAGATGCTAAAGATGCCACTTTGGATGTAATAGTTCTTTTCCTTTTTGTGGAGATGAATAAGTTAACATGGATAGAAAGAGGCTCTTTTGTAATTGTTTTTCTCTATCAATCTGTTGGATTCTTACTTATCCTAGATTGGTAAAATAATCTTTATCCCTATGTTGGAAAATATGGACAACACATTATTACCATGTCTATCAAGAGTCTTTTGGTACAATCTTAATCACAGGGTAATTTTTTCTTAGTACGGACAAGTTGTGGCCAATTGCATATATGTATGTGTGGTATGGTTATGTTTTTTCAAAGTCCCTAATTTATATGCTCATTTGTCAATTCATCACAAGTACCAATCAAGAAATATGTCACTTATAAAGATAACCATATAATATCATTAACAATTTATCTAAAACTTTGTAACACTTTCAACACCAACGATTTATCGTACATGTAATTCATAACCAATGCATACTCCTTCAATTATCGCCAACTCAAGCAGCACAATGAATTATTTTACAAAATGGCCAATACGAAAAAAGCAATTGGTATGGACATTTCCACAAATAGTTGGAAGCAAATTTAATTAACAATATTGCTCGACATTTCCACAAATAGAACACATCTCTGCGCAAACTCAGATTTATCAAAGACTATCAAAGCAAAGTTTTAGAACACATCCCTGTGCAAACTCATATTTATCAGACTATCAAAGCAATATCAGATTTATTTCTTGAAAAAACCCATCACAAATCATGCAAAATAATAAAAAGCAGTGTTTAAACTATTAATAAAAAAACCAATTCAACAGTTGCTTTGTATGTGTGTTTGCCCGCGTGATGTGTGTATGCGCAGAGTGTTGGTCATCACTCTGTGGCATTTGATCGAACATCTTATAGGCTTTGTGCGATGTGTATGTTGTGCATGTAGAATAGGCAGCATATAGAAAAGAAGCAGCGAGAGAAATAGAGAAGCAGAATTAAGGGAAGGTCTGAACTTGCAGCAGCAATTGGCAATGGCAGTGGATCAGCAACGACGAGTGGAATAAAATAACAAATCAGTTCATATGGACTACAATCAAAAACCCTAAGCGAATAACAGAGAAAGCAATCGTGCAGAAATGACACTGAAATTGAAAGGTATATTTCTTTTCGCCATTGTAGAAAGAGGTAAATTTCTGTTTGCCATTGAAGAAGGAGGTCGTTTCAATCGAAAACCAAAAACCGAAAACCAAAAACCAATTGAAGTTTGAAATCAAAAATCAAACACAAGCATAACTCTACTAATTAGCAATATAAGTCAAATGTGAGGTACCTGAAGCAAATGGTATCTGCCTTCTGAAGACGATGAAGACGATCTTCTACTATGCCTCTGGGGTGTTGTTTGCGCAAAAATAAGAGTAGCTAGCGTCTTTGCCCTGCGCGGGAGTAGCCAGCCGAACGGCGGTAATGGGAAATAGCCAGAGTGATAGCTAACCTGTTATCCACCATAGGTAGGGTTTACATTGCCATGAAAAGTGATATAAAGTGAAGATTTTGATTGGAAAAGAATTTATTTGTTGTTTTATTAACCAAAATTCTTAAAATTAAAGATTTTTCTCTGTGCAAAAAAGGTTCGAAAAGTAATTAGAGTGGAACCCCTACTTGAGTGTGATCATCGTAACTCATACCCACAAGAAAAGCCTACTAGTAACGCCACAACGACAAAAAATCGCAGACATTTCATAAACTGGCTCTCGTGCTACAAAACTGTCAATTGAAGTAGTGGGAAGGGCTGTGAATCAAACCATGTTTGCTAACTTTATAGAAGTCAGGAAGGACCCTACACAAGGTAATGTAAATCACTGGACCACAAGTTCGATTAGTCTCAACATTAATAAAGTAAAAAAGGAAAACTTCCCAATCTCTTTCCCCCTCTAATTTGATAAATTACATAGAGACACTGGCGAAAGTTAAGTATGGTCTAACAATTACTATAGGTTTTACAACCTCTAGGTTTTAATAGTGAAAATACTTGGTCCCATATAGATGTTCTTTTGTACATAGAGATTGAGTATGTGTGGATCACCCACTAAACACAGATAAAATATTCTTCTATTCTTTCATGAGTAGTACTAATTGCCATCACCCACCAATTCTTTTCCTTAAAACATGGTCTTGGTAAATGAAATGTAAAAATAGAATCATGAGAATTTTATTAATTGTTCAGAAAAAAAAAAAGAATTTTATTAACTTTGCATTGAAATGCATATCTATATTTATACTACTACTAATTAAAGACAATTAAGTGAAAATTTTTTGATTCACTATAATATCCTTAATAAAACAACTAATTTTTATACTTTCTCTTGTATGGTTAATGAAAATTTTAAATCTTATAATTGTTGTTGTAATAATAATTAGGGTTAATATCAAATTGCACCTCGAAAGATTATTTGAATCTCAATTTGTACCTTTAAATATCAAATATCTCAATTTATACCTTCAAAGATATAAATTTGCATCAATGTGCATCCCAAGTTAACAGCTATCAATTTACCGTCTAAAACTAAATAGATAAATCATACCTAGACCCCCTCATGATTATCACTTAATCACCTAAAATTCTGACATTTGAAATATTACACTTACATCCCTTGAGAATCTAAATATAACTAAAAATGTTCCCCCAATTGGACATTCAAATAATTCTGTTTAAGTGATGTATTGCATTAGATATAAAGAACATTATATAAATACATGTATTATATTGGATATTCAAATGATAAGTTTGATTTTGAAATTTAGAGTATAACGGGGCCACAAAATAAAAGGTAATATGAAATTATAATTTTTTATTATAATGAAATCATATTTTTAACGGTTATATTAACAGATATCAACGACAAGGGGTTATGTGTTACACATGCATAAACATTAGGAGGTGTAAGAGTAATATTTTAAATGAGGAGGGTCTAAATGATTAAGTGACAAGTATAAGGGGATCTAAGTATAATTAATCCATCAAGTTTTAGACAGTAAACTGACTGTTGTTAGTTTCAAGTGCGCATTGATATAAATTTTTATTTTTGAGGGTACAAATTAAAATTCGAATGATCTTTCAAGGTGCAATTTGAGATTAATCCAAATAATTATTTATAGCTATATCTATATGTATATACTAATAATAAAACTACGGTAATATGAAATTTTTTTAATTTACTATTAAACCCTTATAAAAAGTTATAAATACTAATATGTTATTTTTGTACTTGTATATCAAAATCACTATTATATCATTATTTTTCGTTTTAATTCATTTCATAACCTATATTTATGTGTATATCTATGACCATATTACCCTTAAAAGAATATTGGTTTGAATTCTTTCATTTTTTTTTCTTTTAAAATGTCCAAGAGTTTTTCTATCCACAAAAGAAAATGGTTTTCTTCTCCATTATTTATTCATAATGTTTATAGTTACGAACGGGATACAAACAATAACATAGAATTTAGTGCCTCCATATTTTGGCTGTACACATTCTGGCATTGAGAATATTCAATGACTATGAATAAATGTATATCACTTCCCAATTGAACCTGAAGAATTTCAAGTCTTCCATATTTTTGGCTTATACAAGAGCACAATTAGTCTTTCCATTTATTGTTTTTAAATCAACTTCCTTATTTTTGCAACAGGAACAAAGCTAATATACAAAGTGGAGCAGTGGGTATCCTCTAAGTTGCAATTGCAGTGGAGGTCCTACTTTGGTCACACTTATGGGATACATTTCTGCTGGTTTTGCATTCGAGTGTGTGCTTGTGGAAATCCAATTCTTGGGTATTTGGTTCCTATTTATGGTTTTGTTTTAGGTTTTGTAAGATCATTGTCTTTCTTTGTTGTTTTACTTCAACTTGAAAGGGAAAATACAAACATTATACAAATCTAGAATTGACATGAATAAATTGACGCTAAAAATTTTGTCCCAAACAAAAATAGAAACAATTCACACGAATGAAAATTGTACTCTTAACACTTGATTCTAGTTAGAACATCGGAATTGTATTGTATATTATATTCTATTCATAAGAATGTTTTATTTCGACATTCATTCCATTCACGAGTATTTTATTTTCATGATTCATTCCATTTCCACTAAAACAATCTCAAGTTGCATGATTTATTTACAAAGCACCCAGTCCCCTACTCATCTTCTTTGTGCACCAGCTTTCTAATAGAACATTATTGAACCCAAAGAATCAGCATTAAGAACTTCAGTTGTAGGCATAAGCACATATAGATTTGGGCATATAATTGAAGAATCCAAAAGACATGTACATTCAAATTCAGTTCAAATTAGAAACTTACTCAAACATCAAGTCCTTTATTTATTTGTAAATATTACATTCTCCATAGCTTGATCAACACACACAAACACACATCAAACCCAACTGACTATACTCATGTTTTACCAACATGACAGGTAACCAGGAAACCAAACAAACATCCACACAAAATGAAATTGAAAATAGTACTTAACCATATGCCTCTAGTTCTACATGGCTTTAAGAACCATGCAAACAGGCAGCAAATGGACTTGAAACCCCATTAGATTCACGCACAAACTCCTTCATTAGTGCTGTTAGGAAAGGAGATTTGAGTGGCATTTGGGCATTTCCAGCAGCGAACGATATAGAGAATAGCTCAACGGTGAAGGAAATTTAGACGACCATGTTTGGCCGCTCAAATGAAAAACATCTCGTTCTCAAGGTCTGGGTGAAGTTTGTAGAACCTCTCATCAAATGAAGCAGCTGAAGTCGAAGATGATGATGGTGAACCAGAGGATGAAGATGCGGCTGAAGCATGAGACTGCAACTCCACTGCCACCTCTTGATATTCACGTCCCCTGAACGCAACAAGGTCAGCATAGTAAACTGGAGGGACAAGCGAGACAGGCTTGGTGCATCGTGCAAAGGTGAAGCACAAGTGATATGTGAGCTTCTGTAATTGGTCAGACGTAAATTTGTGCTCATCCCAGAGGACACAGTAGTGCGTCGGCTTGCTTGTCCCGAGGGTTCCATAACAGCTGCAAAGATAGAAATCAAATTGAAAAGGATGACAAATTGTTGTATCTATAACTGTTCCTGGAGGCACGTTACCAGATGCACCCCCATCCCTCTCATTCTCAAGAAACAGTCGAGTCTGGTGTCGCTTCTGGGCAGTAACAAGAGTGATTGTTGGGTGGTAATCTTCAGTGCATATAGCCCTCTTTATATCAAGTAATTCTTCGTTAAGAACCATTTCAAATTGGCCTTCACTTACCCCATCACGAAATATAAGAATTTTTGTTGGCTTGGTTTTGTTAAGCCGATCATAGGTGTTGATTAGATCCAAACACATGGTCCCAAAATTCAGAATCTTCTCCTTTCGGTGTTCCTGGGGACGAACCCTTGCAGCATAACGATTGGCAGCTGGATTCATTGTCGCAACAACCGCGGCGATTGATGGACATGTTGCATTCCACGCATCAGGGTGATTGACATCTGCCCCCACAAGCATAACATGTTCTTCACCCTCAAAACAGGGGAGTCGTTCAATTAGTTCGACATTACTACCCCCAAGCTTGGCATTAATCTTGAGAGAAACCTTAGCATAACACTGATCATTCCCTTTGTTGGCATAACTGGACAAGCAACATTGAGTCAATACCCCAATCTGAGTCTCAGAGACCCATTTAAGGTACTTTTTTCCAGGATGCTTCATGGTCATCACACAAACAATAATTTGTAACCGGCCCTTGCATTTCCCATTAGCCTCCTTAACCACACTTGCAAGAAGTTCTTGAATTGCTCCGACACCAGAGAATTCATGCATGCCAGTGAAACGGCACAAAACAGGTTCCTCCATGCAGACGCCTAGACTTCTACATCTATTTCTAAGATTCTGAATGAAAACACCAGAATTCAGTTTATTATAACGATCATCTGAACTGCAATCTATCAAGGCCCATCGCTTGACTGGCTTGCCTTCCACCACAGATTTACCAACGAGGTTATATTGACAGTCCTCCCTGTCAACTCTTACCATATTCCCATTGCCAACTTTTAAAGTAGGTGGTTCAATGACACGACCAAGTTCTCTTGTCATGGTAGTGTCAACTACAATTCCAAAATTTTGAGCAACATCTCTGCAAGACCACAAAAAGGGATTGACATTTGCATTATCAACAACATGAAAATCAACACAATATTTTACTACATAAGCGTGGAGGATTAAGTAAAATTGTGCTAAAAAATGAAGAGGCTCAACATAAAACTACCACATAATATTTTACGCTAAAAATATCTTGTTAAAAAACAATTTAGAGAAGCAACCAAACTACTGTGCAACAAATTATGCTGAAATATAGAGGCTTAAGTGAAAATACATACCCACAAGGTCCATCTTCAGCCTGCACCATCTCACAGATAATGTTTTTCCTTTGTGGAGGCGTTAATTTTTCCTTCAATAACAGGCGTGAGTCTCTATCCAAGTCCTCCTTCGGGTACCTTTGCCCCTCCACCAAAGTACAGAATTCCATAGGCACATAATTTTTTCGATCACATCTCCGCAAGTCTAGACAGGGAATATCCTTGTACATAATTTCCGTCCTATATTTCTCCCTGAAATATTGGATAAGACCAATTTCCCTTGGTGGATGCTTCCCCTCTGGATCTTCAAGAATGAATTTAAGATCTCCTGTATTTTGACTGCTCAACCCTGCTATAATATACTTCTGTGTGGTGTTGCGGTGAGTTACATAAACTTTCAATCCTTTTATTGCACTTGTCACTTCTCTTTTCCACTTTCTGATGTCACTTACTTCTCGGAACCCCGAAAATGCTCCATAAGGAAGTCTATGACCGGCAATCGTTTACGCAATGCCATAACTGAAGAGTCCAAACATAAGCCTGGACGCTGGGAGGTGAGCTTTATGCTATGTTGAGAGCCTCTAAACGCTGCAATGCCACACCGAGGTCATCTTCTGCCCTGAACTCTTTGCAATAAAAGCTGCACCCAACAGAGATCCTATGCCTACACAGATTCTCATTCATTATCAAATCCATCCCCTGTAGTATATCACGAGGGATACACGAAAGGTTTCCGCTCAAGTAATCCTCTAGCGTGTTAAACTTCAGCTCGTTTACTAACTTAACTGTCAATATATAGGAGCGGCTCTTCATCTCTTCCCCGCGAGACAATTCCACCTTGAAATTCCCCATGGGCAATGGCACAGCACTGTAAATGTTCTTCTTGCCATCAAAAGTAGTCATGTTCAGAGGAAATCGCATTGGATCATCAGAGAATAGTTTGTCCTTTATCAAACGCAGAACAGATTTCGAAATTGATTTCTTTGCAGAACAATTGTGTGGGGACATATCTGGTTTAACATCCACGTCGTAGTGGAATACCGTCCTCTCTGGATCAAAACTGACAGGAAAATGGTTGACGAGAAGCCTTACCTGCCTGATTGCAAGCTTGCCCCCATTGTCAGGCCGTTTTATGGGCATAAGTTTTTTCTCTCTACCATCCAGAATAGTTGATGGAGGCTTCTGCTCTGAAATTTCCAATGATTGGATATTTGGAATAACATGAGCTGTGCAGAAAAATAAAACAACCACTGAACTTTATAAAACCCACAATCAAGCCTATGACCA